AAACTGTTGTGAGCATTTTTAAGGGAGATTTTTGCATAGATATAAATCTTTATTTCTCCTACATTAAAAATGCAAGACTGTGATTATTAAGCCCTATAATAGCTGTCTGTTTACTAAGAACGTGCCAAACTGTTCTCCAGAGTATCTGTGCCACATATATTTCCTCCAGAAATGTGTGAGTAAAATGGTTCCCTACATCCCTTGCAGTGTGTGTAATTTATCTCAGTTTAGCTAACGTGGTATATTTAAATTTAATGAACTTATTAACAATGCTGAACACTTTTCCTTTGCTTATTTGCTATCTGAGTGTGCTCTTTAGGGAAATGCCATCCATTTTATACTTGCATTACTTTATTTCTATTTTTAAGAGTAGTAAGTCCTTTATATACTTTTTGGTACTTTGCAAATTTTATTATCTCAGTCTGTATTTTCTATTCTCATATTATATTAAAGTGTGTGTGTGTGTGTGTAGTTCAATGGTAGACTGTTTGCCTAATATACAATTAGGATCAATCCTTATCACTACCATTGTAAAAAAAATTATCCCCCAAAATATATCTGCATTTACTTAAAAGAATTTCCCTTTGTAAGTAAAATGTAGTTTCACACTTGTTCCTTCCAAGATATTTTGCATCTTTAAGCCTTTCTGAGTTTGAATAAGTTTTGTTTTGGCATGGATTTCCTTGCATATCTTGTGGTTTACTTATCTCATTGTGTTAGAAATGTTATTCACAAACTTGATATAATTTTGTTATTATATTTCTTCTTTCTCTTCCACAGTCAAAACTCTGGTGACAGATATTTCACACATTTTTTTTCTACATGTTCCTAAAACTTTCTTTGAAAAACCTTTTTATTAGATCTTGTGGTGATTTGAATAAAAATGCCCACCCACACACAGTCTATAGGGAGTGGCACTATTAGGTGGAGGTGTGGCCTTGTTGGATTAGGTGTGGCTTTGTTGGGGGAAGTGTACCTCTAGAGGAGCGGGCTTTGAGTTCTCAGAAGCTCAAGGCTGCCTAGTGGCTCATGGTCCCCTTCTGCTGCCTTAGGTTAATGATATGAAGCTCTCAGCTCCTCCTCCACTCCTATGTCTATTTGCATTCTGCCATGCATACCATTGTGATGATAATTGACTAAACCTCTAACTATAAGCCAGCCCCAATCACATGTTTTCCTTTACAAGGTTTGCCATGGTTATGGTGTCTCTTCACAGCAATAGAAACCCTAACTAAATCAGTCTTATTCATTTTATTTTACATGTGAATGTTTTGCTCACATTTATATATGTGTACCACTCATGTACTTGGTACCACTCAAGATCAGTAAAACCACCTGAACTGGAGTTATAGATGGTTATGAACCACAGTGTTGGTTCTGAGAATCAAACCTGGGTCCTCTCCAAAGGCGAGAACTGTTCTTAAACATTGAACTACCTCTACTGCTCCTAAAGTGTACTTAATCTATTTCTCCAATCTACTGTCTTCTTGTAGTTTATACTTGATAATTTCTATTGTGGTGCCTTCATACATCTTGCTTTCTCCCTTAGATCTGTTTCCAATCTCGTCTGTTGTGGGCACTTTGTCCCTGCTACTAAATTTTCATTTTATTAAATACAATTGACTCTATTGTAGGTCCACTTCCCAGGGGCCCACCCAATGCAGCCGAAAAGAAGTGTGTGGTGCTGGGAGTGGGTACAGCCTACATGGCCTAAGACAGGGCTCTCACCCTCCTTTCACCCACCTCGGGGTCCCTTGATGTTGTCCATCGTTGACAGCCTAAAGCCTTCGACCATCGATGTGACTTGTCTCACATCAGTGTTTTGGGGTTGTGAACTTGTCTAAGACCCCCCATAATTAGACATCCAAATTCAAAACTCACATAGTTGGGATTGATTATAAGACACCTTCTCAAACTAAACAGAGAAGGGGGAGATGCCAGAAGCCAGGACCCTCGCCCTTACCCTCACCCCCTAACTTTCCCCACCTGCACAATGTCCCCTGAAGCTTGGCAATTTCAAGATCCTGCTTGGCAACTGCAGATAGACTCAAAGCAGTGTACCATATCTTCTGAAGAATAGCAGGGAGACCATAACTCAAGCAGTGTACTATATCTTCTGAAGAACAGCAGGTAGATCATAATTCAAGGCAGTGTACCATATAGACCATGACATGTTTCAAGGCACAGGCCAAGAAGATTCTGTACTTTTCCACCACCTGGCCCCTCTTACCCCCTCTCCTTGTAAAACATGCTATAAAAAAGCATTTCATGTTCAAAAAAAAAGAAATTATGAATTACAAAAAAAATTAAAAAAATGAAATTCTATTGAAAAAAATTACTGGACTGTTGAAAAAGACTTTTCCTATCTTGAAATGGGATTAAAAACAGTATAAAATATCTCTGGATTCACTATAACATTTTGTAAAATATTAACATTTTGTCCAATAAATAAATAAATAAATAAATAAATACAATTGACTCTTTGTACATTATATTTTCCCCTAAGCATACTTGCAGTTTGTCTAAGGTTTGTGTGACAGCTGCCATAAATCAATTGTAGATAATCCCTGCCAGCCTGATACTATTTGTTAAGATTGTTTTTCTTATCTAAGTTAAGTTTTTTTTTGGGGGTGTTAGTTTGAGAATTTTCTATAGGTACCTGGACATATTTGCTACTGTTATAGGACTGTGGATTTTACTCAAGTGTCTGTTTTATCTAGCTTTCTTTCCTCTATCACAAGTAAGGAGAGATTGCTAGCGACACAGACACAGAAATGAGAATCCTGGATCCTCACTCTGTACTTTATATCATCTTTAGTGGGGGGTGTTGGGTGTCTCTGTGCTTCACAGGTAGCCATCACTGTGAGAATCACAAGGAGATGCCTTCCATGTCACTGAAAATTTGTAAAAGTTTGATTATTTCTAGCTTCCCTTTAACATGTAGAAAGAGGGTGAGGCATCATGTTACATGATATATTTGTCAGATGATAGATAGTGAATTAATGCTAAGTAAAATTTAAAAAGTAATTTGAAGGATCATTGTAGATACAAAGCTGAAATATCTGAGCTCATCCAGCCCAGCTTGATTAGGAAACTCATCCGTACTTCAACAAAGTTTAGACAGCTCATCTTTTTATATGGTAATTTAAATTTTAAGGAGGCACTTCCCTTCCTAGCATTACCAGGGAAATGGGAGGTGAGGTCCAAAGAACACGAGGGAAGAGTTGATCCCTAATACCCTCCAAACCAGCAGGCTAGTTTGTCTAGCTTCCTAACACTAGCATCAGCCTTAGAAGATGCTACAGAAAGATACAAAGACAGGGACTTTGAAGGAGTCAGACAAGTGTAGGTGATATCATCAACTTGTTTTTTTAAAGATATAAGGAAACATTATTTGTTTCCCTTAGAATGCTCAGAGAAGAAAGTAGATAGGAAATTATGTGAATAATACTTAATAGTCAAGTTGTTTTAATTAGGGTTAATATTGATATAAAAAAGATCATGATCCCAAAACTTGAGGTGATAGGGTTATTTCTGCTTAATCTTCCAGGCAATGATCCATCACTGGGTGTAATAAGAGCAAGAACTCCATTAGGACAGGATCGTGGAAGCATGAGTTGATGCAGAAGCTGTGGAGGAGTCCTGCTTATTGGCTTGCTCATCACACGGCTTGTTTACCCTGCTATCTTACAGAACCCAGGATCATCAACTCAGGGAAAGCACTGCTCATAAAGAGCTGCGTCCTTCCACATCAATCAGTAATTAGGAAAATGTTTCACAGGATTTCCTACAACCTAATCTCATGAAGGTAATCTCAACTGCCACTGTGTGGCTCTGGATTCAACAAACTTGGAGTTTTCAGCACTGTAGCTGAGTTTACACATGCCTGCTTGTCAGTGATAAGCCACTGGCTCCTACTCCCAAGGACTTTCTGAGACCTCTAACAGTTACATCCTCCAGCCTTACCACAGCCGAAGGACCTCACAGTGGATGTGAGTCTAGCTTTCAAGATCCTGAAGGGTTCTTGCTGGGAAACAATCTTCAGAGGGACCATGTAACAGGCTCTGCCTGACCCACCATTCTTGCTTCATAAAATACCTGTTTAACCTGAAGTAACTGTAAACTTTGTAACAGCATGGTATTATAAAGAAAGTTTATGAGAATAAACAAAGCATATTTGAAAGGCAAAGAGAGGGAGAGAGACACACAGAGAAAGACAGAAAGAGAAAGAGACAGAGACAGACAGACAGGCAGACAGACAGACAGAGAAAGAAAGAGATAGAGGCAAAAACACCCAGACACAGAGTCAGAGAGACAGAACAACACAGAGAAACCCATCAGCTTGTATTCAGTGTTGAGTTTTGAGTTTTCTACTTCATGCAAAAGCAAAGGAGTTCTGGAGCTGTCTGCTCAGAGTTCAGCATCATGGTCTTCCTTTTATTTGCTTTACATATATGGTCTCACCTCTTGTTTTTCTTTAAAGAGAAGATACATCTTGCTGTGGCTATTGTTGCTTACCGAGTGAAATAGAGGTTAAGTAGATTGTAAACCTGCTTGGTGATTCAGTTATGGGATAAAATAAAAGTAGTTGAGCAGGGTGCTCTTCCAGCAGCCAAGGGAAGCTAGGCCACTAACTCTCATTGTGTATTCTGTAAGAATTTCTTCTAGCTATTAAATCTCCAGGAAAGTCACTGAAGTTTAAATTTATGTGCAGACTTATCTCATAAATTGGAGAGATACACAAACATATTCAGTCTTACTGCTAAATCAACCCATATTAAGAATTAATGATGATCTTGTTGGAAGATTTACTATGTAATTCAACATACCATTAAAACCCCATTTATTTCACTGCAGAGTAAATGCAGATATGACTTATAACCTAACAACTAATGGTACTTTAAAACACTATTAAGTGTCATTCTGGGTGTAAAATACACTGTATCAGACCAGTTCTCTTGTGTGGTAGATGTTTTCACCAGCTATGAATTCAAGTGCACTTTCTTCTGCTCTTAGTTTATTGATATCAATATAATCTGGAAATAATTTAAGGTTATGTTTTTATTACATTCTTCTGAATAACCATGGATTTCAACTTGATTTTGACATTTCTGCATCCATACTGTAGCAACACAGCCATTGTTTTCCATTTGGACCATCAGCAGTAGTTTCTTATTTGAAGTAGATGCTGCAAAAACATTTATAATTATACATCAACTACATGCAATATCAATTTGTTTATAATTATAAAATTCAGTTAAAAGTTGTGCTGAAGTCTTGGGGTTCCATTGTCTGGGTACTGCTTGCTCTGCCTGCCTCCCGCAGGTCAAGTCTCATAAGGAAAAACCAGGTTAGGTCCCTTCCCCCATCCATCCCATTCCCCTGTCTGCTGAGTCACCAGGGGCATACCCAATTGTCTGAGCTAGCTTCCTGCTGTCCCTCAAACTCCATTGCCTGGCCACCTTTACCAGGAATGCTATGCCAAGATCATCCAGGTTACAGCCTTCTTCCCTACTCCCAATCACCTGTCCTCCCTGCCTCCAGGGGCACACTTAGGCACTATGAGACATGCACTACCCCTGAGTTTCATTGTTCAGCACAAGCTGCCCACTAGAGGGCTTCTATACTAGGAACACCCAGGGACAACCAAATGACTAAAGGCCAGGAAAAGAACACAATCAACAGGGAATATGTCACCTTTAGAGCAAAACTATCCAGTTATAGCAAGCCCTGGATATCCAAAGCACAAGAAAATGATAATTCAACATTATAAAGATGATAGAGCCCTTTAAAGAGAAAACTAATAAAACCCTTGAAGAAATAGACAAAAATACAATCAAACAGGTGAAGGAAATGAATAAAACTGTTCAAGACCTGAAAATGAAAATGGAAGCAATAAATTAAATGAACAGGATCTGAGGGAATCCAGGAGATGAAAAATCTTGGAAAGAGAACCGGATAACAGAAGCAAGTATCACCAACAGAATACAAGAGATAGAAGAGAAAAATCTCAGGCATAGAAGATGTAACAGAAGAAATTAATACATCAGTCAAAGAGAATGTAAAATTAAAAAAATCCTAACACAACACATCCAGGAAATCTGGGCTATCATGAAAAGACCTAACCTTAGAAGAATAGGATTAGAAGAAGGTGAAGAGTCCCAACTCCAAAGACTAAAAATATTTTCAACAACATCATAAAAAAGTCCCCATTCCAAAGAAAGAGATGTCTATAAACATACAAGAAGCTTACAGACCAGTTAGACTAAATCAGAAAAAAAAATCTTCCTGCCACATAATAATCAAAACACAACATCTACTGAACAAAGTACAAGGGAAAAAGGCCAGTAACATACAAAGGCAAATCTATCAGAATTACACGGTGACTTCTCAACAGAGAGTCTAAAAGCTAGAAGGGTCTGGACAGATGTCTTGAAGCCTCTAAAGAAAGACATGCTATAAAAAAGCATTTCATGTTCAAAAATAAATAAATAAATAAATAAATAATTAAAAAAAACATTAATTAAGACAATTATAACACAATGAAAAAAAAAGAAATACAGATATTAACCTAGACTACTGTACTCAGTAAAATTCTCAATCACCATAGATATTCTAAGCCAAAATCAAATTTAAACAACATCTATCTCCAAATCCTGTCCTTCATAGAATACTTAAAGGAAAACTTCAAACCAGGAAGGTTAACTACACACAAGAAAACACAGAAAATAAATAATTCCATACAAGCGAAAAAATAAGGGAGGCATGCACAAATACATACAATCACACACATACACACACACACATACACATACACACACATACACACACACAAACACCGCCAACATCAGAAGTAACAGGAATAAGCAATCATTGCTCATTAATATCTCTCAACATCAATGGAGTCAATTACCCAATAAAACTACACAGGCTAACAGAATGGATGCAGAAACAGGATCCATCATTCTGCTGCATAAAAGAAACACACCTCACAAACATAAACATTACCTCAGAGTAAAGGTCATGAAATAGGTTTGCCAAGCAAGTAGACTCAAGAAGTAAGCTGGAGTAGCCATTTTAATAAAATAGGCTTTCAACCAAAAGTAATCAAAAGAGATGGGGAAGGATGCTTCATACTCATTAAAGAAAAAGTCCACCAAGATGATGTCTCAATTCTGAACATCTATGCCCTCAAAGGCAAAGACACCCACATTAAAAAAAAATGCCACTAAAGTTTAAATCACACTGGAACTGCCCACATTGAGTCATATTTCAACACTCCACTCTAACCAGTGGTTAGGTCACTGAAACAGAAACCAAAAAGAGAAATAATGAAACTTAACAGATATTTTAAATCAAATGGACCTAACAGATATCTACAGAATATTTCACCCAAATACAAAAGAATATACTTTCATATACAACATATATACATCGTATCATCTCATGGCTTCTTCTCCAAAATTGACACTATACTCAGTCAGAAAGCAAGCCTTAACAGATACAAGGTGAAATAAACTCTTGAATCTTATTAGACGAACATGGATTAAAGTTGGACTTCAACAACAACAGAAACAACAGAAAACCTACAGACTCATGGAAACTCAACAACTCTTTATTCAATGACCACTGGGTCAAAGAATTAATAAAGAAATAAATTATGAACTTTCTAGAATTCAACGACATGAAGTCACAAGATACCCATGAGACACAAAGAAAGCAGAGATAAAAGGAAAGTTCATTGTAGTAAGTGCCTTCATAAAAAAGTTAGAGAATTCTCATACTAGCAATTTAAAATTACACCTAAAAGTTCTAGAAAAAAAAAAAAGCAAACAAAGTAGACAGCAGGAAATAATCAAATTCAGGGCAGAAATCAGTCAATTGGAAACAGAGGGAACAAGACACAGAGTCAGTTAAACCAAGACCTGGTTCTATGAGAAAATCAACAGGATGGAGAAACCCTTAGCCAAACTAACTAAAAGGCACAGAGATAGTCTCCAAATAGACAAAACCAAAACTGAAATGGAGACATAACAACAGACATTAATGACATTCCTGAAATCATTAGGACACACTTTAATAGGCTGTGATCCTTAAAATTGAAAAACCTAAATGAAATTGATGATTTTTCTAGTTAGACACTAGTTAAATCAAAGATCATGTAAACTATTTAAATAATACTAAAAAAATAAATAAAAGATGGAGCATAGATTAAAGGAACAGCCAACAAGTGACTGGCCCAACTTGAGACATATCCCAGGAAAGAGAGCTAATTCCTGACAATCTTAATGATACTCTGCTATGCTTGCAGACAGTAGCCTAGCGGAATTGTCTCTTGAGAAGCTTCATCAAGCAACAGATGAAAACAGATGCAGAGATCCATAGCCAAACAACGGGTACTATTACAGGAAATGTTAAAAAGGAACCACAAGTTCCTGCGTTATACCCAGCTACTTTCGGCCCTGTGGTCTCGCAGCCTCTTGGCTAGCCCCAGTCAGCGGTCTTCCTTTCTCTGGTCTGCCTGCCTCAGAGCCACCTGTACCTTCCCAGCCATCTACCCCTTGTGGTCGGTGGTCACAAATCCCCTTAACCCAGTAAATCAAAACTCTAGAAGCTTAGAATTAATCAGTCAGATTTATATATCAATAAATTATCAATTCACAAGATGCTCACACAATAATTTCAAGTCCAATAGATAAAAATATAAATTGCCTACCTAGATAAGACAAATTATACCAATTATTCTATTCTTTGTAATATTTATAGCAAACTGTGGCTACTTAAAGCCATGAGGAATCTGGATCATCTTCCTTTTGTTCTATCTTCCTTCCTTCTCCTCTGTATCTTTCTCTGAAACCCTTAGCTCCACCTCCCTTTTCCCTGTCCAAGCATAGGCTTCTTGTTGTTTTGATTGGACAGGGAAAATTCTGCTACAGGGTGGTGCTTGGGGAGTCTGTTGGAAAAGTTGGGGATAGATTCACATAAATTGAAGGGGTCAAGGACACCACAAGAAGACATAGACAGTCAGGTAACCTGGGACCATGGGGGCTAACAGAGACTGAAACACCAACCAAAGAACAGGAAGCGACTAGATCTAGGCCCATTACACATTTGCAGCAAATGTGTAGCTTGGTTTTTATGTGGTTTCCCTAAAATATTGGAGAAGGTAATGTGTCTTACTTTGTTGTCTGCCATTGGATCCCCTTTCATTAACTGGGCCTCAGTGGGAAAGCATGTACTGAGTCCTAAAAGGACAGGATGTCCCAGGGTGAGGCATAACCCATGATGAACTTTCCCCTTCTCTACAGAAAGGGGGGAGTAAATAGGGAGACAGATTTTTAAGAGTGGTACTTGGAGGAGATGGGGGAGGTATGGCATTAGGTTTGTAAAGTGAATAAATACATTTAAAAAAACAATAAAAGTTGCAGTGAGATTCAATACCATTCTATAACATCTAACTAAATATTAGGTATCAGTAAAATTAAAAATCAAGAACAATTTAAGTAGATACTTTATATCAAATTCTGGCATAAAGACTTTATAAGTATGAACTCAATTATTCAATAAGCATCTACGAGAAGAATAATTATCTTCATTTCAGAGAAAGGAATATTTTGAAAAGTTACATAACTGATCTTAACATAATCAATTATAAATTGCCATATAAAATTTATCATTATTTAATTTAAAATTGTTTATATTGAATAGCTGTAAGGGTAAAAACTAATCATTTTGTAGCTTTGTGATATTGCTTAGAGCCTAATAGTAGAGTAGACTTGGGTACACTGGTGATTTTATTCATATATGTATCTATGCTGCTATAAATTTCAAAGACAGAGGTAGATGGATTGATTCACCTGGAACTTAAATGACTATTAGAAGATGCTGGGTCATTGGATGCACCATACTTGCATGAATATATGAATATGCACACACACACAGAGAGAGAGAGAGAGAGAGAGACTGGCAAGTACTGAAAAGCAAATATGGCTTGAACGTGTAAAATTAACAGAACAATTGCATTACTAAAACCATTCAAAGAAAACATGGTCTCTAAGTCCAAGACAAAAAGTAAAAATGAGTGGAAACATGAAGATGAGGGACCAAAGGAGAGAAACTGCCAAGAAGTATCTTATATCTTAAATCTGCAGTGGTGATAATACAGTGTCCTCATTGGAACAATGGAAACCAAATAGCACAGTGGAACCCATGTCAGTAATAAATGTCATGGTGGAGAAGCGTGATGGTGAGGATTGTTACTGGGTAGGACAGTGCCCAGAGTGGACAATGTCCATATTCAAAGAGAAAATCCTGAATGTGGATCCGATGGGATGGTCAGACAAGGGACATCCCCATAAGCAAGTCTCAATGTTTCGACATGAATAAAACAAACTCTGTAGAGGAAAATAAGGTCCAGGCATCTCCTTTCTTCCTGTCTTGTACTTGGCATTCTGGAAGTATTAAAAAAAAAAATCCCTCTTCCAGGCAGAAAAAAAAAGGTGATATAATGTGTTGAACACTTTTTATTAATGGGAAATGTAAGGATACAGTATAAAAGATCCCAAAGAACATAGAAGTAAACCATCTGTAATTCAAAATTCCAGGGCTGGTTAGGTAGTAAT